AGTTGTAATTATTCCATATCTTGAAATATTATTATTATGACAATTGTTTTTCTTTTTTAATTCTGTCCTGAAAACATTTAAAAAAAATATTTTCTCCTTGGTCATTGCAGGATTCAGCCAGACCAACAATGTGCCAAATGGATGGTAAGAGAAAAGGGACAAATCAGTAAAAAAAAATTCAAATAATCTCACCCAGGACTCTTCAAATAATTGGCTAAATATCTTTTTAACCTCAGTTATCTAACAGTTATAACAGCATTAAAATATAAATAACTTACTGGCATTCTAAACTGTGGATTATAATTTCACATATATCAAAACGATAAACAATCTATGAATATTTTTTATGAAGAAACAATTAGCAATATGAAAATGCAACATGCTATATTTGAGACAAGAATTCAATTTCAGATTACATATGTACAGGAATTAGTTTTGGTAACTACCACTAGAACAATAGTGGCAAGTGGACTAATATGAAACTTAAAAATGAAAAAAACTGTACATCATAGTTATTATCAAGCAACAAGCATTTAGAAGAAAGTATGGAGAGGATCCTCCTGCTAGAGACCTTATGTAGCTGTAAATCATTTAGGGGACAGTTGAAAAATAAATGTTTTGTGCCCTGACAAAAGTTTACTGCTTTATGTTTGCTGAAAATACTAACCAGAATTGTGTATTTTGACATGTTGGAGTTATGGCCATTACCATAGATTCTAAACAACAAACACAATGCTATCTTTCAGGAAGATGGTTTTGGTTTTATTTGTATACAGCATCATGACACATGCACAATTTGCCGAGGGGAATGCCTCCTACGAGGTATTTTACAGAAAACAAGTCCTTATTTAAGTGTTACTAATGTAAAGGAAACCAGGAAACTCCATGTGGCCAGTCCGTTGGCAAAGGTACGATTCCACGACCAACTGCCAGCATTTAGTGATTTTATACACACTGTCACCAGTGGATGCTTCAGCAAGTTGAAAAACTGCTACAAATCCATCACAAAATCATATCCCTTTTGAATATTTACCTTCTTCATAATAGGCCAAATAGTTCTAACAGCTTGGCCTGTGAGGTCATTGGACCTTATCCCAATAGAAAAAAAAATCTAAAGGCATATGTAAAGGACAAAATTTGCACTCTGCTTCTGCCACAAAACAGTTGATCTGGGTTGCACATGCAAAGCTCTAGAAACAACTAATCGTCAGATGTTGATTTATGATAAAAAAATAATCACATATTGTTTCAACACGTGTGTACATTGAACTTTCATAAATAAGGTTAAAAAAAATTTTCAGTTACTATTTCAAATAATGCACGTTTTGCATTGTATGGTTTCATTCAATGGCTTATTTTGAATGAATATTTCTTATCACTCGCATAACACACGAAACTAAGTTATATCAAGTACGCAGTATTTTCAAATTTACTTTAAAATAACATTTTTTCTATATTAAATCTATAAAAATATTGTTAGTGTACAAATTTAAATATACAAAAACTTGCTGACTTCATTCTTCAGCAATACAGATTTCTTTAAAGTTATTGCCAGTGAGAGACAGTGAACAGTCTAAACATACTCCTAGATTGTTATTACCATATATATTATTTCTGTTTATCATCATATTAAATTACTATGAAAATAGATTAGATTTAATTAAGTAAAAAAATAAAGCAAATGGTTTTAAACCTTCAAAATGATTGAAATTAAGTAAATTTTAACATTAATGTTTTTTAAATTATATATTAAAAAAAATACTATTCAATAAAAANGAATCGACACATAGCTACAATTTATTTTGTGTTATTTATTTCTGTGTTTGTTATATCTACGGAGACTTGAGAGACTCTATGTGGCGATTTCTTGTAACAATGAACAAATCAAAAGACCAGATAAGGTTAACAAGAACATTTATTAGCTTACGTACATCCCACCTGAATTTTACACAAATTGAGAAATTATACCCCGACTTACGCGAATTTGACTTATGCGGTTATCACTCGGTCCCACCTATCACGTAAGTTTGGGGTATTATTGTATTTATTTTGTTTGTGCAAAATAAAAAAATAATTTTGGACGATACAATAGCCATGATTATTTTTTCAAAAACGTGTAATTTTCATTAGGTTTAACATGAACAAAAATTCAATATGGCGCAATACGCAATGAAGAAAAATTTAAACATCAGATAGGTTAAAGATAAAGTATTAAACATAAAAATATTTTATTTTTAATTTCTATTTTATTGCACTAAATTCTATTATATTTCTAAAGACAGAGAATGAATCTGAAGGCATTTAAATAGTAATTATATTATGCATGATTTGCTCTTCATAATAATGTTTTATTTGCTCTGACACAGTACTTTTTGTTAATTGGCATTTTGGACTTTTTATTTAAAACTTAAATAATTATTTATTAAAATTCCAAATAAAATTTAATTAAATATCTTTAATTTTAACAAAAAAAAAAATATATAAGTGTGTATAGAATAAAATTAATTTTCAGTTTTAATTACAACAAAAATCAAAATGTGTTTTTACCTTATAATCTATTCCAGATATGATTCTTCGAATTAAGTAAAAACTCTGACACCAAAAGTCAACATTTTGATATTGCAAATTTTCACACTTTAACAAGGCATCACAGACCAGCCTATAAATAATTTAACAAAACATTACTTTATTAATAATCAAACAATACCATTGGATTTTATTTGGGCTATAATATAGCCTACTAACTATAAAAATATCCTGTAACAACTTTAATAATTAAGGCTATGTTTTATATGTAATTATATTAATTAATTATTTTTCTTTATTATTAACATTGCAAACAAATCCATAATCAATTAAATGCTATTGAAATTTATTAATCATCATAATGACTAGTTGAAATAACTTCAAAATAATCTAAAATAAAAAAATCAGATTTTTTTTAACATTTTGAGAATCGAGCTTCCATTTTCAGAAACTGTAAAAAGACACAAATACACTAGAATAAACAATGTTTAAATTTTGAAAAATGAATTATATTTGAAACTTTAGGTGGATCAAAGGAAGTAAGATAAAGGAGATGAGGAGGTAAAAAAAACCCAAATAATAATCAAATCATTGATTTCACAAAGTATTTTACAATTACATAAAAATGAATAAAATAATTTTTATGTAATTAAAAACAAAATAATTGACACTAAAAACAGGCAGAATTGCTATCTTGTAATAATTAGATAATTTTTAACTAGGCCCTATAAAGACATTACATTGAATCCAGAAAGGTTGCTACAAATTCTTATTAAGTAAAGATATCCTATTGAGAATTGCTATGCTGTTAGCATCAAGATAATCTTCATGTATGTTTGTATTTAAAATCAATACAAATTTTATTTATTATTAGTTTATATTTTCATTGAGTTAAAACTTGTAAATGTTCTGTTTTATTTGAAATGTTCTATATGCTTTCTTTCATTTAAAATTATGTTTGTTCCAACTGAAGAAGACATCTAGTTAAGTCAAAAACATTATTACTCTATTAAAAGTGTATTGTTGGAGTTATATAAGATGTGTTTCTTACTTCATTTATTTTCATAATCAACAGTACTAATGTAAGATTTTATAATCACACATAGCTAACAGAATGATCTACTAAAAGAAAGAATCAAAAAACTATAAAATTTTGCATTATTTACATGCAAGTGTTTTTAAAAACTTAACAAATTATATCAACATGACTGCCAAACATATTGTTGCCTCAATAGTTGAAGAGCACTGAATAACAACGGNTATATGTATATATATATATAAATACTACACACACTGTATATATATACTGCACACACATCACACACACACAGACATCCAGACATATATATATAGTATGTACTGTATATATAGATATATATATATGACTTCACTCAGTTCTTACCAAAGAATCTACCATAAAAGAAAACAAATATTCGTCATGTAATTGCGAAATTTTGCAAAACAAACGGCACACCGACGTACAGAAATGTATTATTTATTTATTTATTAAAAAAATTAGTACAATGTTTAATGAGAAATGTGAGCCTGCTTAACTGAGCACAGGCAATCAAAATTTGGAACAATTGTTGATAAGGCTGCTCTCATCTCTTGGTCGATCGTCCTCAGGTGTTCTCTTTTTCTTGATTTAATCGTAGTGAGAGTTGAAAACCCCAATTCGCATAAGTAGGTTGTGGCAGATGGTAAGAGAATTGCAATAGCACTGAGTATCCACTGCTTTCAAAGCAGTGGATACTCAGTGCTATTGCAATTCTCTGAGTATCCACTGCTTTGAAGCAGTGGATACTCAGTGCTATTGGAAGTGCAGTGGAAAGCAGTGGATACTCATTTTTTATANGTTTAAAAAAAAAAAAAAAAAAAAAAGTTGGAAGGAGGGAAACCCCGCGATAACCCTCCACCACCCTGAACGAGCGGAGAGTGGACCGTTCCGGAGAGCCTCGCTCTGGCACCAGACTAGCACGCCATATTAATATGTTAATGAGTATACTTATCCTAATATTTATCCTTTCCATCAATCTCTGTATCAGAATCGGCTAAAAACCCAATATAATTCCCCAAAAGGTAGAAAAAAGTGGGAAAATGACCGCCGGCCGATCGCCTTGTGCCCGTACACGTCATTTTATAAACAAAAACCGCGTGGTTTAAACCTAAAAAAGCCGGCGCTCGTCCTAAGCCTAACGTTAGTCCTAGCGGTTAGAAAAGGCCAGACGAACGTCGAACGGGGGGGGAGGAGATAGAGAGAATCGGAAGAAAAAGGGCGCCAAAAAACCGGGCGATTTCGGCCATTTCCGATAATAATTATCGGCAATTCCCTCTTAAATACGAGGCCCGACGGCGGGCTCCGACGGCATCAAACGACCGTCCGATATCTTGACGGAGCTCGACTTCAGGTAGGCGAACAGACGATAGACGCAACTTTTCCCGTCCGGAAGGCGATATATATATACGTTATTTACCTCCTATTGAATCGTCATCTCCCTCTTCGATGCCCATATCCTGATCCTCGGACGTCTCGTCGTCTCTTCTGGAAGGTGCTGGCATCATTTAATCGAGTCGCAGAGGCCGACCGCACTTCGAACTTTCCTAAGATGTCTTCGACGTTTGTTCGTCGCCCCCCGAAAACGACAAAGTAAAGGGACGTCGGGCCGTGGCGCATGCGCCGAAGAACACACTTATAAATGATAATAACTTCAATATTANGCAATTCTCTGAGTATCCACTGCTTTGAAGCAGTGGATACTCAGTGCTATTAGAAGTGCAGTGGAAAGCAGTGGATACTCAGTGCTATTGGAAGTGCAGTGGAAAGCAGTGGATACTCATTTTTTATATGCAGCCAAAAATGTGCTAGCTCTGTTTTGGAAAATTTTAGTTTTAATGTCCAATCAGTTTTTAGCTCCATGAATTCTTCCTGCTCGTTTATCGATAGGTGTCCAATGGAAATGCTATCTGAGAATGGATTTCGTACTCAGTCCATAAGTTGCAGGTCACACTTAGAAAAATAAGAGTTCATTTTTTCTCCTAATAGCTCCAAGTGTTTCACTATCAAAGCCTGCACTTTTTTTGTAAATTGGCAGCCGTGACACTTGGGAACATTTCATTACTACCATTGGTAGCGTGGCTGATCCATAACACCAACTTAGCATGAAAGCTTTCAATCTTGTCTGATAATGTTAATGTATTAGAATTCCTGCCTTGCAGTTTTTTGTTGAGCTCATTTAAATTGGCAAATATATCTGCCAGTTATGAAAGTTTTGCTACCCATTCTTCTCTTTTAAACAGAGAAGCAAAATCTGAATCCTGGGCCTCTAAAAATGTCTGGGTCTCATTTTTTACCTTGTAAATTCGAGAAAGCACTTTTCTGCAAGAAAGCCATCGTACTTCTGTATGAACCAGGAGTGACTGATAATCTGCTCCCATTTCCTGACACACTGCATTAAACAGACAAGAGTTCAGCGGTCACGACTTGATGTAATTGACAATTTTGACGACTTCTTGTAGGACAGACAACAATTCATTAGGCAGAGACTTTGCCATCAGTGCTTCCCTGTGTAAAAAGCAATGTACATTTTTAATATTAGGGTTTTTTTCAGAAGCCCTAGTTATAAATCCCCTAATTTTTCCCATCATAGCTGCTGCTCTGTCTGTGCAAATGCTTATGCAGTTGTGCCATTCCAAATTATGCTCATTGATGTACTGGTCTGTTACTTTGAATATTTCTTCTGCAGTGGTATAACCAGATAGTGGCAAACAAAATAAAAAGTCCTCTTTTATTTCATATTTGTCAGTGTACCTCACATTTGATATCAGATGCACATGACCACTGATATCAGTAGCCTCGTCGACTTGTAGCGCAAAAACTCCACTAAGTCTTAATTTTTCAATTAACATTGATTGAATATTGCTAGAAATATCATTAATTCAATGTGAGATCGTATCTGCTGACGCAGGTATTTTTTTGATTTCCTTAGCAGCTTCTTGGCTAATCATAATCTTAAGAACTTCTTTGCAGACAGGTAAAATTAAAGTTTCAGCAAGAGAATGAGGCTTCTTGGATTTAAAGAGCATATTAGCAATCACATAGCTTGCTTTCTGCGCTTTGTCTGATGTTTTGAAAGACAAACTCATGAGGGTTACCTGTTTCTTAGACTGGTCTTTCAAATGTTTAAAAAAGGCTTTGTCTTTATGAGCCACCCATGGGTGTTTAGTAGTTAAATGTCGTAAAAGTTTACTGGGCACCATCGAATTATTACCCAAAGTTTCTCCACAAACAAGACATCTTGGGATTGGGCATGATTCGTCTCTACAATATATAAAACCATAACATATATTGCTCTCATCATATTTTCAATTAACAAGCTTAGGTTTTTTCTTCATTGACTCTGCTTCTTGGGAATCATTAGTTTCACTTGACAAACTTGCGGTATGGTAAGGAATTTATCCATTATATAAACATACATGCATTAGGGTCTATTTATTTGTAATAAAAAAGTCAATTACGTTCATGACGACACAATCACAAACTAGCAGCTAGTTACTGGTGAAAAGCAATTTGTTTCAGTTTACAAAAGCACTTGACAATGATGACTAAGCAGGGTGGAGCATTACAATATCACATTGACACACGCATGCGTGCAGTGCGCAGGTGGGTGTCCCGCACCTCACACAACAATGTGCTTCGCTCACATAACTCTCAGCTATGTGTAGGTGCATTATCTTCTCAAAACTTGACATTTTTCCACGGCACACCAACTATTGACCACGGCACACACTTTGCGGAACACTGTCTTATACAATCTTCTTTCAGTGTGCAGATTAAGGCCAAGCCTGCATTAGCATAAAAAAACCTTGTCATAATTATTTTTAATTGTGTGACTATGATATTTTATGCCAGAGCAAGGCACAAAATGAGCATAAAGAGTTGAGCAATGTTCAATATTCGACACAAATATATCCGTAAAACTGTACCATCAATCAATCAGAAGTCAGTGGACTTCATCATCATCTGTCATCATGCAAAAATTGCAGAAAACAAAATTTTATGCATGTTTACTCTATTCTATCTCTAGCTCTCACCATTTTGGTGCTTATGAAGTTTTTTGATTAGTTTTAACATTACAGGTATCCTTTGCTTAATGCAATTTTACTTAACACAAGATTTGATTAACTTGCAAAATTAATTTCAGCAATCCATTTTCATACATGGCATAAGCTTTAATTAATGTGGCTTTAACACCTGTCTTTAGTTAACAGATGTGTTTTACTTGGCAAGTAAGGTGTTAGTGAATTTGCAATTTTTGTTTATTAAAATAACAATATCTGTTATTAACCAAGAATTTATTCTAGCAGGTTGTGGTTGTTGCGAGATATTGTACAACTGTACTTGATTAATGCAATTTTGATATATGCAGTACCATCGAGGAATTAATTAACCATATTAATCAATGGATACATGTAGTTATGATCAACCAAGCTATGATGCTTTGTTTCCATCAATTTATGTGCAAAAAAGTGTTTACAATAACTTTTGACAATTGAAGGCAGTACCATCATCATAAAAATTTCACTAGTGGAGCTGATCCTCCATCACAATCCAAGTGCAAATATAAATAGGTCATATGATTAAAAATAATTGCAGCTAGGGTTTTTATACTCAATTTTACACTAGTGGAGTCTTAGTCTTAGTTGCAATATTTACTATTAAGTTACAGCACTTATTAAGCACAATACAGGCCTATACAAGCTCAATACCCCAACTTGTATCACTATCCTATTTTGCTCCATCTTCATGTTAATGTACAAAATGACCAAAAGACCAGTGATCCTGAAGCCAATTAGAAAAATTGCAATTTTATCAAAATGTTTCTAAGAAATAGCAAATTTAGTTGTTAATTATTTTTCATTTTGTTTAAAAACAATCCAGCAATTAAACTGTTTGGTTATTATTAGATTCAACATAACTGAGTCTTTAGTCATTTTTTCAAAGTTGAATTTGTACCATATTCTGAATTGATATCTATAATTTTAAAAAATTAAACATATAGATACAGTAGAGCATCGATTATCTGACCCCTGATTAACCGTCACCTCAGTTAACCAACCACGTTCTAGTCAGCAAATTCAAATGTCCGCTAGTGATGTGGCGCTACAATATTTGGCTATGTCTTAGCTACTTTAATATTATTTTTACATGTTTTAGCTGGCAACACTGGATCGACCATAAAAGGGAGCCAGTATTTAAACGAGGCTTAATTTTCTAATTTTTAACGATACAATANGCTCTCCCACCACGACCAGGTGGTGACCACGGGAGAGTTATTATTATTATTATTATTATTTATGAGATTCTTTATTCATTACATTGAGTCCATTCTTAAGGATTTTTAAAAAGTATCAAAAAAGATTTTAGAAAGATAATAAAGCAAAGACGGATTTAAAAAATCTTTGTAAATTTTAAAGTTTGTAAATTCTAAGTGGAAATGTTCAACAATAATTAATAATACAACCTTATTCTTCCATCACAAATATTTAACAGAATGACAAACATTTTCAAGCAGATCTGCTGTCCATCATCAGGTGCAGGTTCCTTACTACGTACAGTTACGTTCTATCAGTATTTTTTTATTTAGAAACTATGTCCCAAAATAAAAACAACTGTCCCTCAAAAAAAAAATCTTCCCTAAAACTTGTCATTATATTATATATTAGTAATGGAAGAATAAGATTGTATTATTAATTATGATTTTTTTAAATCAACAGTTTTATTTTACTGGCTCTGTTATATGGCAAATTGGGAAAGTATGGCAATCAGTCAAAAAGTGACCCCAAGATTTTTACATTTTTGGACTCAGGACTTTGAACTTGAACTGTTGAGAAATGTAAAAGAATTTAAATTTTTCTGTATGTATGTCTGGATGTTTGTTTGTTTGTTTGTTTATATGTTTGTGTTGTATATGTGGAGAGGCACAATTTTGTTCACCCTCTTTGAAGCTTAATAGCACCTGTGCTTTTTGTCTAAAATTTCTGAAATTTTGCAGGGAGGTTTGTTTATTAAGGGATTGATGATATTAAATTTTGATAATTAAAGGTTGAGGGGGAGAGATAAAGGCAATTGTGTGTATCTCCAGTAGGATCAGATTTATGACAATTTTACTTGTTATTAGCATTTACAATTTTTATAAAACCTATCCCTACCCCAAAATTAAATTTTTTTTTGCTATTTTATAATAGTTAAAAAATATAAAAATCCTTTTTAATAAAATATCATAACAGATAGCACCACACACAGTTTTAAATGTTGTCAGGAAAGTCAAGCAACTCATTGCTAGATTTTTTAGAAAGATAGAAGTTTATAGACATAACAGGATGATTTCCAGTCAAACAAAAATAAAACATTTAAATCAAATATTCATATTGTTTCTTAATTCTGTAAAACAAGAGATATCAATTATTTTGTAAATTTACTGTTAGAAACTTTCTCCATCTAAGACAGTACAAGTTAATTAAAAGTGAGTAAGGATATAAATCTCTGAAGTATAAAAATGGATATAGAAGTAACATTAAAATTTCAGAAACATTGTCCAAAAGAAAATGTCAAATTGCAGAAAGATCTACAGTATATCTTTGTCATGTGAAATTATTAACCTGTCCCATGTTATTCCCAACATATCTCAGGTCGTGACCTGCTTATCTTGACCAGTTGACCTGAGATATCTTGTTTCAGCATTGGAACGTTTTTGAAACAAGATGTTGCTAGTCATTATAATTTTTATATTAAAACTAACTTCTGAAATGTAATTTTTTTTTGTTTTTACATTTATTAATATACAGTAATACCTCAACTTACGCTAACCTGGAGTTACGCGATTTTCAAATCTCGTCAATTCGTCTTTTGTTTGAGTGCCAAGCAACTCTTGATTACTCATTCCCCCCGCACTATGTTCAGCTTACATGTTCGGACGTGTCACGTGGAATCGACACATAGCTACAATTTATTTTGTGTTATTTATTTCTGTGTTTGTTATATCTACGGAGACTCGAGAGACTCTATGTGGCGATTTCTTGTAACAATGAACAAATCAAAAGACCAGATAAGGTTAACAAGAACATTTATTAGCTTACGTACATCCCACCTGAATTTTACACAAATTGAGAAATTATACCCCGACTTACGCGAATTTGACTTATGCGGTTATCACTCGGTCCCACCTATCGCGTAAGTTTGGGGTATTATTGTATTTATTTTGTTTGTGCAAAATAAAAAAATAATTTTGGACGATACAATAGCCATGATTATTTTTTCAAAAACGTGTAATTTTCATTAGGTTTAACATGAACAAAAATTCAATATGGCGCAATACGCAATGAAGAAAAATTTAAACATCAGATAGGTTAAAGATAAAGTATTAAACATAAAAATATTTTATTTTTAATTTCTATTTTATTGCACTAAATTCTATTATATTTCTAAAGACAGAGAATGAATCTGAAGGCATTTAAATAGTAATTATATTATGCATGATTTGCTCTTCATAATAATGTTTTATTTGCTCTGACACAGTACTTTTTGTTAATTGGCATTTTGGACTTTTTATTTAAAACTTAAATAATTATTTATTAAAATTCCAAATAAAATTTAATTAAATATCTTTAATTTTAACAAAAAAAAAAATATATAAGTGTGTATAGAATAAAATTAATTTTCAGTTTTAATTACAACAAAAATCAAAATGTGTTTTTACCTTATAATCTATTCCAGATATGATTCTTCGAATTAAGTAAAAACTCTGACACCAAAAGTCAACATTTTGATATTGCAAATTTTCACACTTTAACAAGGCATCACAGACCAGCCTATAAATAATTTAACAAAACATTACTTTATTAATAATCAAACAATACCATTGGATTTTATTTGGGCTATAATATAGCCTACTAACTATAAAAATATCCTGTAACAACTTTAATAATTAAGGCTATGTTTTATATGTAATTATATTAATTAATTATTTTTCTTTATTATTAACATTGCAAACAAATCCATAATCAATTAAATGCTATTGAAATTTATTAATCATCATAATGACTAGTTGAAATAACTTCAAAATAATCTAAAATAAAAAAAATCAGATTTTTTTTAACATTTTGAGAATCGAGCTTCCATTTTCAGAAACTGTAAAAAGACACAAATACACTAGAATAAACAATGTTTAAATTTTGAAAAATGAATTATATTTGAAACTTTAGGTGGATCAAAGGAAGTAAGATAAAGGAGATGAGGAGGTAAAAAAACCCAAATAATAATCAAATCATTGATTTCACAAAGTATTTTACAATTACATAAAAATGAATAAAATAATTTTTATGTAATTAAAAACAAAATAATTGACACTAAAAACAGGCAGAATTGCTATCTTGTAATAATTAGATAATTTTTAACTAGGCCCTATAAAGACATTACATTGAATCCAGAAAGGTTGCTACAAATTCTT